GATAGGTCAGTGTTCTGAAGCCTCCTGTGTCTGAAAATGAACTCTACTCTCATATAAACGGGTAACTGGTGTGTTTATTTTTATTTTATGTGTTTTAAGTGTTTTTGCATGCGTGCATGTGGGCATGGTAAATGTGGAAGTCAGAAGAGCCCTCAGAGGCCAGATCCCAGGAACTGGAGTTATGGATGAAGGCCATGTAGGTGCTGGGAACTGAACCTTCCAAGAACAAATGCTGAGCCATCTCTTCAGTCCCCAGAGTCATTGTATGAAAAGCACAGTTTAAGTGTGATGTGCAGGCGAGGCGGAGATGATTGTCTTCGATGTCCTCATGATTATCAGTGTGTGAAAGGGTGCTTGCTTAGGTGGGTAACATGATTCTGGGCACAGAACCAGAATCTCATAAGCTGCCTCCCCAGTCTGCACAGTCTTTGAAGAAAAACAGCTTGTAGTGTTTGCTTATGGGTTTAGTGTTCCTTGCTCAGTGCCTGGTAGACAGCGGTAGGTGGTAGGTGTGTCCACTGGGTACTGTGTCTGTTGTTGCCCTTGGTATACGTGTGACTGTTTATAGCTATTAAGTACCTAGGAAGCTTTGCTTCTTAAAATGTTTGTTTGCTTTAATTTTTTATGTTTATGGTTTATGTGTGGCATGTGCCATAGCGTGCATTTAATGGTCAGAGGACAGCTTTGTGGAGTCCTCTCCTTATTCTTTACATTTTCCACCTCCCTCCTCCTCTCTTTCCAGTGGTTTAACCAAGAGTGCCTTCACCCACAGAGCCATCCCCCTGGACCTGGTTTTTGTTGTTTACAAATTATTGTTTTCAACTGAACAGGTTGGGTTTTGAAGAATTAATGGTCCTGGCCTTTGTCACAGGTCGTTTCTTTGACAGCTACTTCCTTTTGAAAGTGTTTTCCTACACTGGTTTGTACGTGTGTCCATCCATTCCCTTAGGGAGGAATTACAGCCTCAACCCAGTGGTCTTCAGAGTTTCGATTTTCTTTATACATCAGGTTGCTTTGTTCCTTTTGCCCTTTGGGTTTGCAGCCAGGGCTCCTGAGCTGTCCAGGCTGAATTGCAGGGAAAGTGAGGTCTATTTGTTTCCTGCTCTGGTCTCCAGGACACCTTCCCCAGCCTTTGTATTCTTAGAAGCAGAGTCACTCCTTGGCGGCACTGGAGCCCGCAGACACCACTGGCCAGGCTTTGGTTCCACATCCCTGGCCTTGGAGAGACAGTGCCAGCTTCTCTGTCCCTTTCAGCCCTTCAGGCACAGAGGTCATATCCTCAAAATAGAAACCTTTGTAGACTCGGTCTACTGCACTTGTGGCTTGGTCTAATTTAATTTCACGTATTTGGGGACTGCTGTTCAGCTTTTCTTCTCAAGTCAGCTTTCAGGAACAGTTGAGTGCACATTTGGGAGGGCATAGGTGGTTCTTCAGGAACATAGTGGTGATCTCTGTGCCACCCAAAGCCTGGCTCTCACATGGCCAAGCTTAATTCTTGACTCCAGGCCTATTCCCGAATGTGTAACTTCAGACAACAATGTGTAACTCTGAGCTCCTGGTTCCTCCTCTGTACAGAGAAGAGTCCACTACAGCAGGGATGACCTGAGTTATCCTTATGAAAAGCATGACTCACGACAGCCTGGGGACACCGGACCTGGTCGTCCCTTCCACACAGGCCGGAGGTTCAGTTCAGTTCCCGAGCAGCAGGCTCTGAGGACCATTAAACCTGCCACGCACCCTCTTCTGCTTGCTCCTAGCTCCTGAGTGATGGCTATTTTTTCCCACCCAGGATGGGGTGATTATCCATAACCCAGACCATCAGTGGTCTAGTGTATTGACTGCTCTGTGTCTGGCAGTCTTTATGCCAAGCACCTTCTGCCTATAATAGTTACCTCTGGGACTCTTCTGTTGCCCAGCCTTGCACTGTCAGCGTGCATCGGAGGCTCAGAGGGTTCCTTCTTTGTGCTCAGTCGCTACCATGGTTTTCAACTTGTATGACCCTGTCTTGGGGAGATGAAAACAAATGTCTCCTGACCCCAGATTAAGCATCAATGATAATTCAAAGTAAGGATTCCATTCAAGTCACCCTTGGGAACCAGTGAATTCACTGGGTTCCCTTATGGTCATGAGTGGAGGGCTTGTGTACAGTGATTTGGTTGACCCCCTCCTAAAAAAGAGTAACACCATTAAAAAAAAAATCTTACCTCAGTATCAATGGCAACTGCCCCGGGCTGCATAAGTGAGGTTCCCTTGCATTTAACTGTCCACATTCTGTCTACTACTCATGGGGGTCCTATCTCCCCAAGGCAATGCACAGCCGAGGCAAAGTTACTATGGAGAGCTGGGAAAGAGTCCGAACGAGATCTCTAGTGAGGGTCTGATGGCCTTCCCCACTCCCTTCTCCCATGAGGAAACCGCAGCAAGCTGGCTCTTGAAGGTGTCCAGGGGCAGTCACAGCTGCCCTCACGGAGATGGAGATGGCTCTGGGTTCCACAGTGTGGCCGTTCCTTCTTGGCCCCTGTGAGTATGATCAAGTTCGCCCCTCTGTTCCTGACTTCTTGACAAGGAGTGGTCTGAACTCCAACACTTGTATGCTGACCTTTCAATGTCAAGAGCAAGAAAACGTCAAGCTTCAGAGCCTATTGGCTTTGTTGCCACTCTGCCCTAGCCTGTGGGCTATCAGTGGGTTGAAAGAGCTGGGAGTTCAGGCTGTGCACCATTCTTTCCCATGACTCACTGCCTTACAGGAGGCAGCAGAGCTGGCAGAAGTGAGGCCTCTCAGACTTCAGGCTAGAGATTCACAGTTCCTTAACCTTCACTGTACCTTCCATCTTTCTGTGGCTTTTATTGTCTTGTTTTTGAGAAGATGGCCTTGGGACTGGAGAGATGGCTCAGTGGGCAAGAGCCCCTGTTACTTGTGCAGAGGATGAGTTTGGTTCCCAGCATGCACATGGGTAACTTACAGCTATCTGTAGCAGCGTCAGCTCCATGGGCCTTTGTGGACATCAGGCACGCATGCGGCGTGTATACATACACTCAAGGATGCACCCATACATATGAAGATTAAAATGAGAAGATATTGTGACAGCCTTTGCACAGATGTCCCCTCCCCAAGCCACAACACGGTGGCTTTGCCTTGGTCTTTACAGGCCTTGGGGCATAGGCTTACTCTCTTCTTCCACAGAAGGCTCTCATTTTGGGCTCGAAGCTGCCAGGCATCTGCTATAGAAAAGTTTTGTAGGGTCCTGTTTTTATCTCACCTGGAATCCACTAGTCTTGGAAGCCTTGGTAAAGTTAGCACCCAGAAGTTGCCTACGTGAGGGTTTGGCCATCCTGAAGAAGATATCTACCCAGTCATGTTCTGCATGCGTGGGATACTGGCACCAGATAAGACATCCATCCTTGTGCTTCTCAGTGTCATGGCCAGAGTTCTTCAGTTGGATAGCAGTCAGGATAGCAGCCAGCACTCCTTTGGGATATATCTTCTAGAGTTTATAGCCAGTCATAATTCAGTTGATGAAACTGAATTATCCATGACCCCAAACCACTTCCTTCTGGTAGTACTTTTAATATGCAGGTATACTGTGCACATCAGGAGTGTCATGTAAAATGGCAGCAGCTAGCTTTTGAGTGCTTGCTTTTCATTGGCTCTAGGATCTATGACAAACTTCGAAGTATGGTGTCATTTAAACCTGACAACCCTGTGAGATTCACTCCGTCATTGTTGCCACTCTGGACATTAAGGAGGCAGAGTCATTGTCAGAGATAGCATACACTGACTAGGGCTTTATCCTTGAACTGGCTGAATCTGGACTCCACATTTTTTTTTACCAGTGGGCAAAACTGTAAGAGTGTTTGCCAAGCCTTCAACAATTTGAATATTAAGTATAACAGCCTAACTCAGGGTAATAGTTAGTGAGTTATTGATTTAAACCTTTTTTTGGGGGGGGGGTGATCCGCTATGCAAAGAACTGGAGATGTAGTGTCCCTTTAATTCCTTGAGTTTTCCTGGAGCCCCTGCTCTTCTGGACGTTCCTCGGCCCTGTGACTTAATGGGAAATGCAGATCTAGATAGTAACGTCACACTCAGCTACATATTGGACCTCATCGAGGAACTTTAAAAGTGACCCATGCCTGGCCTCAATTTTCAGAGGTTCCAATTTAGTAAGAGTGGGAAACAGGCATTAGTGATTTTTTTAATAATTGTTGGGGGTCAGAACACACACCTTTGTGTTCCATGTACAAAGTCTTAAGCCAGGTATGGTGACAGTACATTTTATCCCAGTCCTTAGGAGGCAGAGGCAGGTGGATCTATGTGTGTTCAGCCTGGTCTGCACGAGACCCTATCTCCAAAACAACAAACCAAATAAGGTCTTATAACAAAGCAAGGGAACAAAGAGTGCCTTTTGACAATAAATGACTGAATAGAATCCAAACTTTTCGTTTCTTTGTTTCCAGTTGACCTATGCTTTTTTCTTACTGTCCCTGTTTGGCCTTGGAGAGTCTTTCCTCGCGGCCCTCACTTCTCCCTCAGCTTTGTTGACCTGCCCTCCATGCGGAAGTTTTATGTGGCTTCCAATGGTGGCTAGTGACCCACAGGCGCAGCCCTCTTATTTCTGCCAGAAGGAAGGGAGTACCTCCTTGGAAAGCTGGGACTGAAAGTCCATTGTGGGTGGTCCTGATAGCAGCTGTAATCATCTAAGGTTTGTGCTGCGGGTAAGGAGCTGCAGCAGGTGTGATGTCACTGCCAGGCGAGCCAGGTGAAACTTGGTTTGGTGGTTGACGCTGCTGTGGTCTTAGTGTACCCAGGAAGCCCTCCTGAGGCCTTTCAGAAGCTACGCGGCCTCGCCCGGTAGTGACAGTGGTTGTTTTCCTCTGTGCTCTAAAGTATCTTTCCAGAAGTAACATTTCAAGATTCCCACCCATTCTCCAGTTCACGCAGGTGAGTCCTATTCTCTGAAAGCATTTGTAATGGGAATGTCACCATTGGTTTCTTGCAGTACAACAAACACCTCTTCGTGCATATCGGGCATGCCAACCATTCTTACAGTGACCCATTGCTTGAATCTGTGGACATTCGTCAGATATACGACAAGTTTCCTGAAAAGAAAGGTGGCCTGAAGGAACTGTTTGGAAAAGGCCCTCAGAACGCCTTCTTCCTTGTAAAATTCTGGGTGAGTAAACAAAGTGATTTTACTGGTTCGTGTGAGCGAGCAAGCGAGCGAGCAAGCAAGGTGCAGTACAGCCAGCTGTGGTTCTACACTGACTGGGTAGGTGGCTTATTCATGAGGTGGCTCAGAGGTGGCTGCAGTCAGTGCAAAACTCGAGACACTGCTCCCTTTCTGCTGCAGTTCACCCCATTAAGCCGAGTGACCCTTGACTTTGACTGGAGCATTGAACCTGGAGTCAGGATGAGGGTAGAGTTGTGTGCCTCAAGATGTTCTAAGTGTCAGAGAAGATAAACAGTATCTGCTTCATTCTTGGGCTAGGGCGATGGCTCAGTCAATAAAGAGTGAGCAACACCAACGTAGGGATCTGCGTGCGATCTCCCACACCCATGGCTAAGAGCCAGTCGTGGTAGCATGCGCCTGTCATCCCAGTGCTGAGGAGGCAGAGATGGGAGAGTCACCGGACTTCACTGGCCAGCCAGAGTAGCCTGCCTAGTGAGCTTGGGCCAGCCAAAGACTTTGTCTTTGGCTCCTGAGGGACCTTTGGTCTGTATACACCAAAAAAAAAAGCAAGCAAGCATTTCTTTCCTACTTTCACAGGACACAGCCACTCGAATTGCCCTTGGTGCTTGGTCTTATGATGGGCCTTCACCTCTGAAAGATACTGTGTCCCTTCCTCCAGTGGCCAAGTGTGCGCCAGCAGCCTGCTGATAGAGCTGTAGGGGCTGAGTGGGGAGCACAGGAGACAAGCCAGTAGCAATGAGAGTTGTTAGTTCCCAGTCTATAAAGAAGCTTCAAGTGTTTGTGTCCTTCAGTGTGTCCTTCTAGGCCTTCAATGACCAGTTTCCAAAGGGCTTTCCTCCTGGGTTTTGCAGGTCCCTTGGACTTGTGTACCCACACCCCCTCATGCTCTTCTAGAAACCATTGTCTTTCCTCTTCTGCCCCCAAGTCAGCAACTTCCTCTCAGCACTGAAGCAGAGCGTTGATTCCCGCCCCCCTGACTCCTGTTTCATTTTGTGGTTAATCAGTTCCCATGCTGGGTCATAATTATTGCGCCGTGTATTCAGCTCCCCTCTGGACTCCGGCTGCCCCCAGGGGACCGCATTCACAGAGTGGCTTCCATTTATTGAGTGCCTGCTGTGTGCTAGGAGTGGGCTAAGTGCTTTACATGGATTTCATGCTGTAAGTGGAATTCGTCTCATATCCAGCTAAGAAGGCAAGCCTGGGGATGACAAAGGACAAACCACTTCAGGCTGGGGACCTGGTGCTTAAAATCAGAGCTGTCAATTTCAATACACTTCCCCACGCCCAGGCAGCTTAACCCGCGGGCCACAGAGTTTGTCATCCTAAGACTCCCCATGTTTACGACACCAAGCATGTGTCCTAGGGAGGACAGCCTACCCAATGTAGAAACAAATAGGCGGATCAGAGAAAAATGTATGTTTTAAATTCCTTGGGGGAGTTTGCATATTTTATTTATTCAGCCTTTCCATCCTTCCTTGGTGACTAGGTTATACTGATTATGCCGTCAGCGTTCAAACCTGGATGGATGCGGCCAGCGTTCACATTCAGGGCAGCCTGAGAACGCTGCCCAGGCCGCTTTTGCGGCTGGTCGTAGAGATTTGTGTGCCACCACTGCCCAGCTTAATTTTGATTTCTTGTTGAAGAAAAATCGGTGTAATCACCTGAATATTACAAATGTCCCACCCTTTTTGGGGGGAGGCAGAACCTCAGTTTGGCCTCGAAGAGATCAAACTGTGTGTGCCCCAAAGTGCACAGCTTAAAGATGTGCACCAGCACCCTGGGCCCCATCTCACTATTATAAAAAGTATACACCGGGCGGTGGTGGCACATGCCTTTAATCCCAGCACTTGGGAGGCAGAAGCAGGCGGATCTCTGTGAGTTCGAGACCAGCCTGGTCTACAGAGCTAGTTCCAGGACAGGCTCCAAAGCCACAGAGAAACCCTGTCTCGAAAAAACCAAAAAAATAAAAAAAAAAAAAAAAAAAAGTATAGGCATGCTTAGCCAGGCCTGGTCGTGAGGCAGAGGCTAGTGGATCTCTGAACTCTGACTAGTCTTGTCTCCAGAGAGATACATGTCAGCCAGGGTTTCTCAGAAAAAAACGTGGTTTGAAAAGCAAACAAAAATCACACCCCCGCCCCACAAATGATCTGCATGCATGTTTAAAGTTTAAAAGGTGTGTATTAGCATAAATATTTTGTGAGGTTTCCATAAGGTAAGATAAGGACTGTCTATAGTACAGAAAATAGATAACGAACTATGAAACAAAAGCTGTGTTGTATGCCTGAGAATGGTCCTCGAGTCAGGTTTGACAGTCTGTTGTTAAAGGTCGGAATGGGTTGTTTATCCAAGTTAATATAAGGAAGTATAAGATAATTGGAAGAAACCACTTTTACTACTTTCAAATTAAACAGCAGCAGTGGGTTTTAATGATGATAAGATTTCTCATAATTAACATTTTGTTTGAGTGTAAATTTACATGGAAGGTGCGTGTTTTGTTTTTTGAATTTGCTTCTTTTACCTGGTGGATGAGCTGCCTTCCCTGGGGTTATGCCTCTCCTGGTAGTGTCTCCTGGTAAGGAGGCCTTGCCTGCAGACGTGTGGCTGGCGGTGTGCAGACCTAGACTGGTCTCTCGGAGCCCAGATACGTATCTGTTCTACTCAGATTTATAGGATTAAAATTGAGCACTCCCATGAATATGATAGGAAACGTGACTCATTCAGCACCACTGTTGGGAGCCCTTAACCTTTCCGAGGAAATTCACGGGGAACTGTTAGAACAGAGGAGAGACGGCAGTTTCAATCAGGCTGCAGTTTGGAGTCTCACTGGCTTCTGTAATGATTTGGTGAGGATGGGTTGCGCTCTTAGCATCTCCATCCTTGGGTATCAGCAGGTGCGTGCCGTCGACGATGCTTCAGAAGGTTTAACACTCCCTTTGAAACAGCTTTTATATTAGCAATTCATTTAGCGGATTCTCCTCTTAGTGTGAGTTCGGTAAATTACAACAGAGACCCCTGTGCCCAGCCGTGCTCCCTTTTGCCTTTTTCGCAAACCAGGAAGGCTCTTAATTTGCTCATTTGATTGCTGTTGAAATTCCATTTTCAGAGTGTCTGACCTGAGTTCAGTAAGGCAAGACAACCTGAGGTGTTTCCTATGGAAAAAAATATCTGTGCTGCCATTTCACAGACCCACAATCAAAGCAAACGACAGAACCCAGACACCAGTATGGACGCTGCGGGCGATGGAAGCTTAAGCTCACATTGCCCAAGTAAACTGGGCTGGGCAGACTTAAGCCAGGTCTTTATGGAGGAAATTAATTTAAGGGTTTAACCAAATAAGGAATGCAGATGGAGCTGGTATCTTTGAGGGGAGTCTCAGCTTTCCACTTTCAGTCCTAATAGTGCGCGAATATCAAGAATTCTCGCGTCAGATACTCATGGAAAGAAGCTGCGTTTTCACCTTACAACCCCAGACTGTCCAGAATAGCGTTTAATGAAGCCTTATTCTTAAACTTAATTAATTAAATAATATAACATTGTGGCTGAGGGCAGGAGAGAAGACTCTTCTTAGGGAGCCTGCTACTCGTACAGAGAACCAGGGTTCAGACCACAGCCCCTACAGCAGGTGGCTCACAACCATCTGTAACTCCAGCTCCAGGGATCTGACACCCCCTTCTAGGCTGTGAGGGCACCTGGGCACATTATGTACACACACATGCACAATAAATCTGCATACATGTGCATATACACATATGAATAAAATCTTTTTATATTTTTGAGAGGGAGACCTTACCTTGCTAGCTGACCTGGAATTCATTATATAGACCAGGCTGCCCCTGAACTCACAGAAATCCCCCTGACCTGCCTCCCAATTGCTGGGAATAAAGGTCAACCCAAAATACAACAAATCTTTTAAAATTTTGTGTTTGTACAGATATGTATCTTATTGCCAGGAATAAAAATTTTCAATGTACATTTAATATTTTGTTCTTTCCAAATCGTTATAAATGGTTATATTCTAGGAGCTAATATATTATATATACATATATTAGTATATATGTGTGTATATATATATATATTGCCTGTATTTTTTTTTTTTTTTGGTTTTTCGAGACAGGGTTTCTCTGTNTTGCCTGTATTTTTTTTTTTTTTGGTTTTTCGAGACAGGGTTTCTCTGTGGCTTTGGAGCCTGTCCTGGAACTAGCTCTGTAGACCAGGCTGGTCTCGAACTCAGAAATCCGCCTGCCTTTGCCTCCCGAGTGCTGGGATTAAAGGCGTGCGCCACCATCGCCCGGCACCTGTATTCTTCATAATACTTTTCTCTGTAATGTTCTTGGAATTACATGCACTATGAATAACAGTATGTTTGTGCTCATTTAATTTACATGTTTACCTTTTTTGAGCTTCGACTTTTGAGACAGACTCTTGCCTTGTAGCCTTAGCTGCTCTAGAACTCACTATGTAGATCAGGTTGGCCTTAAACTCATAAAGATCTACCTTCTTCTGTCTTCCAAGTGTTGGGATTAAAGGTGTGCACCACCATGCCTGAATAATCACTTTTTTAAGGAATTAAGAAGCAAGGTTAGACGCTGGAGAGGTGGCTCAGAGGTTAACAGCACTTGCTGCTCTTCTAGAAGTCCTAAGTTTAATTCCCAGAACCACATGGTGGCTCACAACCATCTATGATAAGATCAGGAGTCTTCTTCTGGTGGGCAAGGATACATGCAGACAGAACACTGTATTAGATACATAGATAATCTTTAAAAAAAAAAAAAGGTAACAAAGTTAATTTACTAGCCATACAGATGTGAGAGAATTTTATGAACCAGGGAAAAGGTGAGCAAGTTATCTCGCATGGGGGCACCCTCTAGACTCCACCCAGAATCTCCTCATTTCGGAGTTGCCTTGACCACATTGGTTGGGAGAATCCCTCTGCCAGTCAGCTGGCCAGTCCTCAACAGCTTTCTCTCCTGGGTCTTTGGACT